GAGCAAAAGAGTTGTCTTTGCTCTCACGGCTAGAGGTACCGATATCAGATGGATGTGCCCATATCATTGGTCCTAAAGGAGCTTCATCACCAAAAGAAGACAAGAGATTGAGATTAACTATACATTAGGGGAAATCAAGTACTAAAAAAGGAAAAGTAAGATAACGTCAAATCTATTCAAATTATGAACTGGAGTCAAAAAGAGAAAGAAAAATCAGTTGAGCGTTTGATCAGAACTGACCAGATGACACGGTTGAAACAGTCCTTCCAATAGATAGAGAACCGTTGCTTTGAACTAGCGATTCGTCATTGAGAGGACAACCATCATTTATATCTTCGGTTTCCACACACTCTTCCTCTGGGGGCAAATACTGCGCCATCATCTTCGCACAATAATGACAAAGACGCAAATCGCCGAGATAGCCTGAACAGAGATAGAAGAAAGTTACTTTTAGTAAAAAGCAATCTTCAGATTAGAAAGGTATTCAAGAACAAGCAAACCTAAGGCGGAGCCAGGCACATGAATATTGCAACATTTTGCGCAGAATATTTGACCACAAAGTCGACAATGATGTCTTCTTCTAAAAAAATTATAGCGTTGAAACGAAGCGGAGTAAGTTAGTACTTACCTAAATGTTGAAAACCGCTCTTCGCATTGATAACATTCCTTTCCAGTAGAATCTGGCATCCAGTATTGTCCTAAAAGCGAAGAAAAATTTATGCCTAAAATCGGAGCAGAGACCAAAAACGATGCGTACGGAAGTTGCTCCTGTTATAGTCCATCAGTCCCGGCTTGTAACCACTCCTGAACATATTTGTCAGCTTATCGGAAAGCTTCCTCGGAGCTCTCTCATTGTCTTGGCTATCTGAAAATGATAAATCCTGAAAGCAACTTTACTGCTTTAAAAGCTGAAACTGAGATACCCAACCCAAAAGCAAAAGTGCAAATGCGATTTGACAAGATGTGATGAGAATAAAAAAATCTTTCAATTTCACAATTTGGATTTCAATTTTTCAAAATTAGATCAAGGTGCTAGATGAACACCGACCTGATATGCATGAGCAGTACATTAGAGTAGCAAGAGACTAGAAGAGTATTAAGAAATATGAAGATAAGTTCATTTTCAAGGTGTCACTAACA